GGGGAGAGAGAGATAGAGAGATAATAATGACGATGAATAATGTCATAATTTAAATGAAAATAGAAAGTACGCAAGGCATACTAGTTCAGCAATGACTGCAGCACAGCTGTAAAGATAAGGCAAAGAACCAGGAAGATTAATGCAGGTAAAGACAGTTGTTTTGTGTTAAAAAAATGCCCTCCCTTCTGTCCTTACATCAGGGGAAGCTGATCACTTCCATATCATAACACTGACATCCATTCAAGGCTGCGCCATCAGAGCAGTGCGAATGCTCTGCCTCAGATTTGTTCCTGATCTGTTTAATTATTATGTTTGTCAGTGTGTGTGTGCGTGTGTTTAGCTTGTTGGCTCGCAGGGCCTGTTTGATTGACATGAGGTATATGTGAGAAAAGGGCTGTGGAGTGGTGTACATTGTGCGCCCTAACAATGGCTTAATCAAACGGCCCAGTGTGGTCTCTTTTGCTGTTTTGTCATCTGACTCTATTGTTTGGGGGCTTCTTTTGTAGCTTCATTCCTTGTTTTAATTGTGCAAGAAATTTACTGTGTATTGTAGGAGCCAGGGCTATTCAGTGCGACTGGCAAGCAGCTTTGTCAAGGGGAGGACCACAGCAGAGATGTAGGAAGATTTAGGAGGGATAGGAAAATAAAGAAAAGGCTTTTTTTTCTGCAGCGTGCTGGGAGCTAGCGTACCGCACGCTCACACAGGCTGACAGATGTGCATGTTCGCGTGTACGCACCACCCACACAGTGTATATCTGTACACACAAAAAAGAAAAACACAGAGCGGCACACATACAGATAAACATATCCACAAACGAGCACCCGCTGTCTCCCTCCCCCTGTACCTCCAGTGATTTGTGACTTCCATGGCTAATGCAGTTCATAAAGGAGGTCTCAGGACCCTATTCGAAGTTTGCTGTCTTTTTAAGGTCTCTGCTCACTGTAATTCAATCAGTCCAGCCTGCAGCTGACAAAACCTGAACGTGTGAAAGCTCTTTCATAATACTGCGTTCCCTTCTACTCTGTGGAGGGGGGGGGGCTGTAACAAATAGAAAGGCAAATTGCATTTTACACCAGAAATCAGCAGGAGGTCTGGCTCTATACTGCGTGTTAGAATTAAGCTATTGCAGAGGACCAACTGGAAGAGCAGAGCTGATTCTGTCCAACTGCACCATGGATGGAGTGCAACATGTGCTTTTAAAATGACGATATGATAAACATGTAACTTTGCTATAAGACTCCCATGACGTATTGAGTAAACACAGAGGGGCTGAAACAATTGCTGGTTTTGTGCTGTATCATAATGTATTTCTTTGTTAGCATGTTTCTGTTTTCTTTCTGGCATTATTTGTTCCTGGCATAAATATAATGCGCTCACTGTATACATAATTATGTTATCAAATGCAGACTCAACGGGATTGTAAAGTAGCCAAACTTACCCATGAATACCTTCTTACAGTATATGTGGAGAGTAAACCGCAGTCAAACTAAAGTTGAATTCTGTCTAAGGGCCTCTGCTTTGCTTAATTACTTTATGTTTAAGGTTAATATAGTAAGTAAGATTGTTGAAAAGGAAAAGAAGATAAGCAAAAATTATATTTTGTCTCAATCAGATATGACATTATTTACATATTTTACTATAAAGAAATCGTATTTATATATATATATCTTTTATTTTCTTTTATATCTCAATGCTTTTTTTTGTATGTAAAGTACTTTGTTGTTGTTGAACGGTGCTATACAAATAAACTTGCCTTGCCTTCGATAAAAGATGCCCACTTTTAACCTTTGGGAACAATCTATGGTGAAGAGAATCTAAATTCAAAGGTCCACTTACTACTGATGTAGAGTTTTCAACTGCATGTCACTGCCACAATGTAGAGACCATATGATTGGAAATATTTCTATCCAACTGTTATACCACAAACAAGCCCCGTCTTGCTCTCTGCCTTCTCTCTTTCTCTCACCCACATACACCCTCACACCGCACACATTCAGCATGTTTCAAAATGCATGGTGGCCTATTTATTATTGGAGGGGTACTCCAACTGACAAACAAATACCTACAAATGAAGTCATCTGGCCAGGACATGTTTACACAAACACTGCTGAGGGATTTTATGGCTGATGTTTCCCTGTAAGTCTTTGCCGCCCTCCCTAACAGTTCCTCTGTTCCCTTCTATGTTCCCAAACACAGCGCTAGATGCTATACTGGACCACACAAACCACCGTACTCTAAAACAAACCTCTTTATGAGAGGGCTTTAGGGTCCAGATGTCCTCGCAGTATGGAAAAGAAAAAAGGGGAGGACCACCAGACTTCATAACGCGCTGAGGTCAGACATGTTAGCTACCCCAGTTACTCCCCCCCCGTCACCCCCTCTCCATCCCCGCTGTAACAAGATCATAATAACGAAGCCAGAGTGTATTAGGAGTCAAGACTCCAACACCACAGGATCCGCACAGACTAAACAAGTCCATTTGATGGTGGAAAGAATTGTTCTTTGGGAGAAATGCGTCCAGCAGTCATGCCAGAAAGCATAAATATGGAGCGAGCCACCGGGGACCCTGTGAAACATCTGTGGTGTAATTAATTGTGCTAATGCCTGGGTGGCACTGTCGTCACCCAGGAGTAATCAGCTGCAGATATGTTTCTATTGTGATTCTGAGCAATGCAAATTCTCTCTCGCCGAGTCTGCCTCTCCTACTTTATCTGCCTCTCTTAATCACAATCGAACCTAGCCTGAAGAAGTGCTTTTCATTTGGGACTTTTTTTGTGCATTCAGTATGTTTAAAGTAGACTCGACCCACTCACTGACCTTAGCAGATGAGCCTAACCCTGCAGGATCTCACTTTATCAACTTCCTGCAAAACAACTGATAAGAAGATAGGCAGAAACATGGGGGGGATTCAGCTTGAAAATGAATATGCAATTGGTTTGAATTACAAAGTCTGCTTACGTTTGCGGTGATTTCCTTACTGCCAGGGTATATCAGACACATATGCTTATACATCCCTACTGTATCATGTGGGATGAATTCATGCCCTGTCTGCACATTTTCTTGTCTCGAGTGACAAATGTTTTTCCACATGTACTTGGCTTTGCAAAAATAGTTTATAGATCCATCCCTATCAGAATCATTTCTAATACTGAGGTGCATATGGTTAGGATTATGACACAGCGACACATACACGCACATTTGAATTATGAAGTGTTCCCCACACATTCCAGTTGTTTAACATAAACTAATTAAGCATTAGACTGCAGGGAAATCGATGTTTTATGCATCAGCATGTGTGAGTGAAATAAAGTGTGTAGAAGTCCCTGTGCTTGACAACAGGTGCCTTTGTGTTTTCCTTACTCTCAGCAGAATGAACCCTACTGTCAAATATTGTGACAATAACCAGCAGGCAATAGTTACTAAGGTGAAACATGGCCAGCTAGTCAGTGTTTCTGTTAGCAATACATTACAATAACATTTTGAAATGCTACGCTTATTCTCCACTTACTGCTCAGCATTTGTTTTGGCCCAGGAAGGTGGTCATGTGATGACTTGTTGAAGGGCACAAAAGTTCTGGTGTCAGCGATATGTTTAGTGTATGTGGAGAGGACATGTATAGGTAGTGAGGACTTGAGTACGAAAATTTGCAAGAAAAGACGTCACTGCAGTGAAATGTGATTAACTATAGATCCGTGGTTTCATGAGAGTCAGTTGCATGAGTGTCTTCTATGATACACTGTATGTGGAATCGTCGTAGTCCCACCATAAAACAAAACCAGCATGGAATTAGGGATGGTGGGCTGGTTTGCTGGAGTCTGTTTATATTCCATGAGGGATCAGTTACTTATTGAACTGAGACCTGACTATATACAGCAAAAGTTTACAAACAATCAATGGCTGAAAAAATATGGTTCACTCAAAACCCCCTTTTCAAATGTGAAACAAACCATCCCCTGCGATAAAGAAAATGTTCTTAATGTACCTTTTAGGGTCAACCAGCTTGTAGAGTTTCCCACTGTGTGACTGCGCCATGCTTTTACTGCTTGCCAGTATGTAGACTTCACCTGCGAATAGGAACAGTCACATGGAAAGGGGCCATCAGCACTATTTGCATTACAGATTGTTAATGTGCAGCATATGTCCCAACAATCAATCTGTCTTCCATTCATGCAATACCTGTGCAAAAAGGAGGAGGGGAGACAAGAGGAAGCAAGCGATGACAAGAGGACAAAAGGAGAGGACATAAGCGGAATGAGTGTGGCAACAGCTTCTGCATTACTGTACTTGCCAAAGGACTATAAGAAAGAGTTTAACGGGGCAATTGAATACTCATGACTGGGAACCGAGCGGATAATTTAATGAGGAACAAGCCAACAAGAAAATTCCATAAGGGGACAAATTGTAAACATGTGTCTGTGGGGCCAATACTTTGGGACACAAGCCCACCCCCTCCATGATTCTTGCACCACTTGCAAATCATGATCAAATGCAGGAATCTTTAAATACATTGTCAAATAATAACTCCAAAACTTGGCAAGAACTGTGATTAAACATTTCGGATGGCTGTGTGAGTGAGCCACATCATGTGTTCGTGTTAATCAGAAACACCAGAGCTGGCAGTTAATAATTCTGTGTGTCTCTGGTGGGGGTCCAGCTGGTAAAATGTTCTGTATCATATTAGTCTGCTCACCTCAGCTCACCCTACCTTATCTTAACGCTGCAGTTCCCCCCTCCAGGTAAACAGTAACACATCTCACTACCCATGCAAAACATTGCATTGTAGGTGGCCATAAACACAGCTCATAAATGGGTCTTTTGGAGTAGCATTGCTATCTTATGGAAATGACAATTAATCCAAAAGGAAGTACGCGCTCTTTAATATCCTGTTGGGAATGTGCCATTGAGGTAAGGACGGTATGTATTAGTTCCCCTGTAGATTTGAGTGTTACTCCTTGTTGGCTTGGGTATTCAAACTGTTCTGGATTTTAAATCATGTTCTTATGCATCCCACTGCGTTAGTGCAAAACATCACAAACACATTTTTGAATAACCAACTGGAAAATTCCTCAACGTGATGTTAACATGTGCACCAACGATAAATATACAACAAAATGACTCCAAGCCATGCTTTTTCCATAGTTTTGCCATCCGTCATTTGAGGCCAACAAGCCTTCAAGGGTTCATGTTGTAAACCCCACAAGGGATTTCAGAAAATATGTTAACACATAACTGTCACTAAATGTGGATGTAGGGAGGAAGAACAAAACAAAGGAAGAGAGAAATGAGAAAGAGCGCTCCAATGAGAAGAGATAGATAATCTGCATAACTGTGTCGGTTTCTTATCATTGCCCTACTGACCGAGTTCATCCTCTCCGAAACCCAAGATGTGTCCCACAAGCATGAAGCCACAGGAGCCAGCTGAGCCCAGACACAGAGCTTTCTCCTGCCACTGTTCACCACTTGCTGATGTTGACAATGTAGACTTCTCGAGGATCCGCAGGTTACTGAGACAAACAAAACACACAGAGTAGGTGAATTACTACAATCATTACTTAAGTCAGTTTATCCCCCCAGGATACTGTTCTGTACTATACATGACATGCACATTTAGTGCGAAATACCAAACAATTCATTTGCCGCAATATTAGGCACATTGCAGTTGAGATCTGGAAACAGGGACAACTTTTACTTCATGTAACATGGTTCATTGACCCATCATCCTTTTCCACCCCCATGTCTCACATGGTGTTATTTAAGACCTCAGCTTTTAGTTTCAAAACAAACATCATGCTGGAGCCTTCACTTAGCCACAACAGTATGCCCTCAAATTGTAATAAGGCCCAAAATGAACCGACCACACATTGTTTTAAACACAGTGCCAACTCCTGATAGTGTACTTGCTCCCTGCTATTTACTTCCTTTGTTTACTCAAGCGTCAGTGTTTTACGTCAGCAAAGTAGGATAAATTACAAACCAAAGACAAGTGTGAACAGCAGAGAGCAGGATGTCTAATCTCCATTTACACTGAATGGGCCGTGACAAAGTGGTGACAGTAACATAGAACTTGTTTTCCCCCCACGTGGATGGAACTTTGTGTTTACTATGGCACATGCCGATGTTTGAGAAGAGAAGAAAGTATCATCTGGATCTCAATAGGGCTTAAGATGTTTGTCTGATAACTTATAAACCAAGTGCACTTTAACGCCAATAGGATAAAGACACTACTATGTCTTCAAAATGAAGCCAGTCAACAAGTGTGAAGGGAGTCAATCTAGATTTCACAACACATAGCAACCTCATTTTCAGTTCATCAGTACTGTTTCAATAGACCTTTTTCACAGCAGACATTTTGACAGGAAAAGCACAGCTGAAATTGAGAACATTAACGATGGCTCAGTTACATTAAGTGTCCCAGTAAGCCAGAAAGCACAATACCTCCCCTAAGTGGAATGCATCTATCATTAATGTTATCAAATACACCGCTGCTTTTCCTACAATGACATGTCTGCTGGGAAAAAGGTCTACAGTCAGTTCTTTTTCATTCTTACCCATTTTTATCTCCAAACACATAGCTGCCGTAAAGCCTTCTAGACTGGCAGCCTCTGTAGATGAAGCCCCCCACAGGTGGTGCTCCTCCACTGGACTGCAGGTCATAGCCAGAAGGCTCACTTTCTGGGGACGGACAAGGAGGCAAAGGTCTGATTTAGGCACTGCCGCCTGCATGAAACACTAGTAGACAACGTCTTATGATAGAGGCAATCTAAACCATGTATTAATCAGGTAATCTATCAGTCTGCATCCTGCATCCCAGTGATTACAATCGACTAATTTACTCATAAAGTTATAATCTATTTTATAAAGTTTGTATTGAAATTGAAAAGATTAACCATATTTACTTAATTTTGTCATAGTCTATTAGACATAATGGTTGTGTGGTTCCTATTATTGAAACTTAATTCAATAAGAAAAAAAAGAGCAAAGAGTGCATCTCATTTGAAATTGGACAGCAAACAGACAACGTAGACTTCAATATGGCTTTATCAAAACCGGAACAGAATACACTAATCTTTTATCAGTAAGAGTGATGGTGAGGCAATATGGCATGTTTTCTGGATTACAGTTGTCTTGGCAAAGGGAAATATGAATGGAGGTATGCTGTCTTTAAAAATGTATGATCCAAGACTTTGTGTGCTTATTTCCCCAACTGTACTCACTTTAGAGTTTGAGTAATTGGCTAAATCAGGCACCAAGCAAAGTGAGGAGTGGTCTGTAGGCAAAAAAACGGCACTTTTGAATTGGAGTGAGAGATCACGGTTGAGGGAATAATTTTGGTTGCCAAAACAACAACTCGCTAACAAAGATAACCAGCCATTCAATTTGAAACAAACAGCAGTCATTTTTTAAGGCTAGCATTGTGACGGTGCTGCTGTTATTGATTATTATCTCAATGTGAAAGGAGCAAGGCCCCTCTCAGCTGTGTTTTCAACAATGCTAAACCATCATCTCGACAGTTATTGTTTTTGACAGCTTTAAATCGTATTTGTGGACACAATCTCACATTCCCTTGGCAAATCCACACTCCACAAGGGGGGAATCTTTCTAGACCACATCATTTTTACATTCAACCTTCACTGTCTCTGCACTCAACCCGGGGTGTTTTCTGAACGTGTTGCCAAAACACCATGTTCTTACAAAATGAAAGACATTCGTAGAAACAGATGTTATTTTCAGCCGAATAAATCTGAAAGATGATCCAAGAGGTCAATGTATTTCTGATTTCATTCTCATGACATAATGCCATCAAACAAAACACAGAAAAAGGTTGCACTCAATCATTTTTTAGCATGAGCTATGTTAACATTGCAAAATGATTAACTCTTTCCAAACTTAAAATCTTTTTGGAAAATCTCATGGAAATTCTAACTCACCATAATCTTTCCCTTTAGTAATCTCCAGTATTCTTCCTGCTGATGTGTTTTTGCCACTGGCATCCGTACAGATGATCAGGAGACTCCCATTGTCGGTCTGAAGCCGATCCACTGCACACCTACAGAACAGAATATAGGATGAGACACAGGTACATTCATGACACCTACCAACTACAAGGTGGCAAGTTGGCAGTTTATAAAACCTTTTCATAGAAACAGCAGAAATAAGACAGCACATTAAGATAATTGCTATGTAAGCTACACATTTTTGACCAAAAAGCAGTAAACGTTTTGTGTCAGTCGTACAGTAGCAGCCTGATTTTGAAGAGTGGATCTCTTTTGCCAGGAACAGCTGTTTAGTTCTTCAGTGTGACTTTGCTGAAGTTTCTCATCGAATGTTTCACTCACCTGCCTGGGTCATGTAATCCATGAGCAAAGATTTCAGGTGGCTGGTTGGTGCTGTTGAAGTAGGGATTGTTCTGCGGTATGGAATAAGGTGATGTGCAGCAGTCTGTGTCCACATCTACCCTCAGGATGGACCCTGTGAAATCACTGCATTCAAACACACACAAAAAAAAAAAAATACACCTTCACGATTGTGGGAGCTAAAAGGATTTAATCTTGGGGCACAAACACCAGCACTCAACCATTTATAGTGTGATTCTAATGCTGCGTACACACTACGAATGGCAAAAGCAACAAAGCTGCCAAGTGTGTTGCTCAAGCGCTAGTTGATGTAGTTATTGTTGTTAAATAGCACTGGGAAATGACCAGATGTAACAGACCAGAGTGAAACAAAAAACATGTGATTGGTTGACGCTTCACTGCAAAATTGGAGCCAAGTTTGATTTGTAGCGCGTCATGCAGCGACAAGTGTCGGGCGTCACCAGCCTCAATTTGAATTGGCTGTTGCTTTGTCGCTTGTAGTGTGACCACAGCATAGGACCTCTGATCTCACCTGAGCCCGTCCATTTCCTCCATGTCATCCAGGGTGATCATGCCATCTCCCAGGACGATGTGCAACAGACCATCGGGGCTGAAGAGAAGTTGACCACCAAGGTGCTTCCTGTGCAGCTCTGCCACTTCCATCAGCACTCGGACAGTCCGGGTGTCCACCTGGTTCGGGTTTTTCCTGAGGAAAATGTTAAAACGTCATTGTCACTGGGTTTCTGTCACAGGGTGCAAAAAATAATACATATGTAACTAATACATACCAGTCTATGTACAACATTTCTATACCTACTGTACATGCTTCCACACAGTGTCATAATTATTCAAAAGTATACACTGTATCAGGGTCTTGGTAAGTAGCTTTTCTACACAGTTGCCTCTTGACTGTGGTGAAAGCCACTGAAGAAATGCAATGTAATGTTTAAATAACCTGCATAAGACATAAATTAAAAAAACCTTAAAAGTACTCTCCAATTACGTTAAGGAATAATTGTGCTTGTGTATAAAAAGATGATACCAAGGCATGGATGAGAAATGCTGACAAGACGAACAAAACAAAATCTAACATTAAATAAATGAGTTTAAATAGTTTGTTGTCTGGAGACATTTAGTCTAAAGCTGTGTCTTAGTCAGGCAAAGACAGTGGGTGGAGATGTAACACATGATTTAAAATGTTGCACAAGTTCTAGTGCAAAGTGAGGATTTGGCATCACAGTATCAGCAACGGATATTTCATGATGTGTTATTTTGGGTAGTCCTGCAATTTTTAAAAAGCACCTTGCCAAAGAAAGAAAAATGATTCTCTTGAACTACCATGAAATACTTTAACTGTCATTGCTCTATTGGACCCTCAAATTAAGGTCTGTACGCTGTAGTCACTAAGACTGCGTGCCAAGACAATAATTAAGATTACATCATTAAGTTAAACTTACAACTGTGATTATGCAAATTAAAATGTAAAACTTAAACACGTTCGTGAGAAAAGATTGTTGTCTAAATTACAGGTAATTTTGAAGGGAGTGTGAGGTATCACCACAGCAAAAGGCATGCGTCGCTATCATAACAAGAGCGTTGCAAATGAACGCCCATGTTACTCTGTGTGCAACTTGAAGCTTTCATATTTACTGTGGTTAGTATGGTCTCAGGCAAAAAAATGTGTTCCTTCAGGGTTTTGTGATCAGAACTTTTTCACAACATCCAATAAATTTCAATTTCAACTGATTCTTGATTCTCGTGTTGCATTTGAAAAGCCTCCAATTTGAACAAATCGAACCATTTGAATTTTTGAGCAGTGAAATGAGAGCATGCACTGAAAAGCAGATTGTGGGAATCTTTACCAACAGTCATGCTTCGCTACAAATTACGACTGACCGCATTGTAAACTGTCCGGTATTTTTCAGTGGTTAAGTAAGTTGGCTAAGGCTTTGCATGAAGCAATGCATGTGTCCACGCTATATTAATCACCAATAGTTAATAGGTCAGTTAAATGTTGTCCAGACTGTGAGGCAGCTGAGGTTTTGGTTTCCTTTCAGGCACTGCCTGAAAGGAACGGCCCATATTTAAGGTAGATTTGACACACACTTCTCCCATTACCTCGAAACGGTGTATTCAACCACACGGAGAATGTGGTCGTGTGGTCCAATTGCCCAACGCTCTTGGTTGGTGGTGTAGGAGACGTAGAGCTTGCCATTCTTCTTGTAATTGGGGTGGAATGCCAGGCTTAGCAGGCCCCTTTCATCTCCGCCCTGCAGTCAGATGAGAAACACAAAAGATCCAGCAGTTAATTATGTCCCTCCTTGGCTTCTGCTCGGCTCTGTGGGGTTGGAATCACCCCCCTCGGTCATCTTCATCATCACCAAGACCACTACATGCCACTCCTACACACCCATCACCCCCCACCTCTTCAATTCTTCAACCTCTCTAATCCCCCTTTTTTTTTAAATTTATCCATCACATTCCCTTTCACACCCCTGCTATTCTCCCATTCTCTCTTTTTCTACCCTCGCCTGTTTCACTTCACACCTTCACCAACCTCCTTGAATATACCATTACCAACCATTATAAAGCATTTGACTCTGGGTAGAGCTGCACCTCCTCTACAAACCCCCGCCTTTGCCCAATCCTCTCTGCAGCCTGGTTATGTGCGCTTGTCCACAGGGTCGGGGGGCCCCTGTGACGCCCAGGCCCTCCCGGTGGCCTCCATTGTGCAGTGATTTGTGTGTGTAATCTTTGGGGGATATCCATGAATGCTACGCTGAGTGGCTGAAAGAATTTATTAGCTCACTCACAGTTCATAGAGAGCACAAAAGTGCAGAGTGCTTCAGTCCGTGCTTTTTGCTCCTCATCCCCTCGCTCTTTCCTGGTTTACACAAAATCCATGCAAAATTCAAGGCTTGGAGGGGTTGAGGGAAGGAGGAGGAGGAGGGGGGGCCAAAAAGCTGCCAACTCCCACTGTCTTGGCAACATGTTTAGAAAACATCTAAATTGCTTGTGTAATATGTAAACCTTTGTCTCACCCCGGAGGCAGCTACATCAGTTGTCACTACCCTGGTGGTCCTCCCATCATAGTTAGCTGTAATAATCAGCTACAGCATTTCATTCCCCCGGCAAGACTAGCCAGGTCGCCCCTTTTTTATGTTGTACTCTCCCTCGCTATTTCTTCTTGACAAAAGAATGATCAGAATGCAAGGCTTAGGTGTGAATAATGTTTATAAAGTGGTCCCTGTGTGGTTGTATCTCTCCAAAACAGCTTGATTCTTTAAAAAAAATAATAATAGTGAGCATCATGCAGAGAAGTTCATCTCACTCATGGCAAACAAACTAGTATCACGTCTACAATTAACACAGCTGTCTCATCCTTAAGGGATTCCTTCTCAAAATAGTAAAAGAATGGAATTCAGATCAAAACATGTGGATTGATTTGAACACAAGTGGCAGGCTCTGGATAGGTGTAGTCTGTGTCACAGGCCAAGTAACACACGTCATCAATTGGTGTACTGAATCTTGTAGTTCTGTTTGGACCGAGTTAGACTTGGCCCAGTCAAATGCAGCAGTGACATAGGCCACATGCGAATGAAAAAAAGCGATGACTCTCTCCAAAGAAATGTATCTGAAGCACGAATGAGCAACAACAGAGACCCACACGATAAGCCACAGGGGTTCTATATAAAGTGAAATGTTGTGAACGTTGACAAATAAATCTCCACCGCAAAAGGCAGAGTTCCTCCGCAGCAAATTTACGAGTACTACTAAACATCAGATCACTGAAGTCAAATAAAAAAGGAGTTAGTGTGCACTGGATGCAGCACACTGCACAGCTGGATGTTAGTGAGAGCCGAGGTGACTGCACTTTGCAAAAGAATGTCAAAAGGTTTCATCTTGGGAAGAGAAATTCTCAACCTCACCTTGAAATGCTGGATCCCTGTGTTGGATTTGGGGATGCAGTGACCCACATCCCCAAAATAAACTTGCCGTAGGGAGTGGGTCAAAGACCGCAATTCCAAAGAGGCCTAGATCCGGAGTCAAAGGAGGACCACCATGATACGCAGTGGGGAAAAGGGCTTAAATATTAGCTCCCTTGCTAATGACTAGCTCCTTCAGCAGCAGGCGAACAGCAGAGCTGGCACTAGAGCCACAAGAAACAAACACTGCATTAGAAAGTCTTTCACTGCAGAGTCAATCCAAGACAAAGTGCTAAACACTGATCATGCTAAAACGGCTGCCAGGGCTGCAATAGGTTTAGAAATCAATATCCTGTACAAACAAGCTAATTTAGAGAAACTGCAGGATTCACATATTGTCAGCTGCAAAGTGAATTTTCGGGGGATTCTGCTTCTACATTGTGGGTTTAAAAGCCAAGATTAGATTCAGCAGTTGTGCTATGGATGTTTCCCTTGTTTCATAGTATTCATCAACTACAACAGTACAGTACAATGTGTGCACTTTGATACCATGCTGTGTTGTGCGGTATACTGTTCACCTTCAGTAGATGTATGGATGAGGGACAATTGAGGGGTAAGCTGCAAAATTCTCTGTTTCATAACGAGCACTTAACCCTCATATTAATAATAATATACCTGCATAATTTAACCCTCATATTAATAATAATATACCTGCATAATTTAGGTTAATGTTGCGGATTATAATGCCTGCCATCTCCAAACCTCAAACTGTACAAATGACTGTTGTGTCGAGTTAAATCACATTCCCTCGATTTCTCCCTTGAACATCTTTGTGGTTTTTTTTTAGACTGCCATCATTCTTCAACACCCAGGCAGGGGGCTCTGACTGAATCTCTCATGAGGTATTATCTCTTCATTTTTCACAAACACCTGCCTCTGCATTCCTCTTTTCCCTCCAAGTGTTCTCTGGGGCTCTGGCTTTGGCTGGGGCTCTGGCTGTTGGCGTCACTCCACAGAAAGCTGGGAAAGTGTGGTGCAGGGATGAGGAGCGGTTGTTATCCCACATCTCACGGTGCATTACATTGAATGCTGGTCCTTTCTGAGTGGCGGAGGCAGCGACACACACACACACACACACACACACACACACACACACACACACACA